CTTTGACTTGACTTGACTTGACTTGAAAGTGCCATGCTCAAGAACACAACACAGTGTCCCCGGCCAGGGTTCGAACCCGGATTTCTTGATCCAGAGACGAGGGCACTAACCATGAGGCCACTGTGCCTCCAGCTGAGTGTTTTGTATACAAATCTTTAACTCGATACCACAGGTAGAAGTTAATTAGTTTCTTTTTTTACCCTCAACAAACCAGGCAAAGATGGTACAGATCCGAAAGAAAAGGACTGGGACGCTGAAATGACCCGTATAAAGGAGAAAGAGTGGTTCGCGAATCACCCACAGTACAGTGATATCCAACATGTGTGTGGCATTGATCGACTAATGGCCACCATGATATCTTTACTGGCCGAAAAAATGGTCACGGAGGTTCCCAATCTGGTCCGTGAAATGAAAGCCCTAAAAGAAGAGGTAAACAAATTGTGTGCCATGTTTTTTTGTTGTTGTTGTTGTTGTTTTTTTTTTCTTTCAAAACATTGCACACAAGAAAGCAGTTTATTGTTAAGTAGAAATCTTTTTTCTCCATGTTTGGCGCACATTTTGAGTTTCCCTTTCACGAAAGTAACCCTTGAGAAACCAGGAAATAATTACTTAACCTTTGCGCCTACGTTTAGCAGGAATGGCTCACAGGAAGGCATTTATTTAACAGATGAGTTTTAAAAAGAGCCAATAAATACTTCATTGTTCGGTCCGTATTAGGGAATTTTGTTCTCGTTCTTTATTTGCAAGGTCGTGGACCTCGCCAAACAACAACAACAACTAGCATGACTATAAATACATACAGTGTTGCGAAAGCTTTTGTAAACTAAAACTAAAACTAAAACAGTAACGATTATCCTGATCATATAATAATGTTATGATATAGCAATCAAGTTACATTGGTTTGATTTGAAAGTAGATCAAAAAGTAGAAAGTAGATTGAAAGTATATTGCGCAGATCAAAGTAAGATGAACTAAATTTTGCTACTTGAATATTAATCAGGAGCCATAATCGGGGACCCGTCCTCGATTATGGTTCCTGATATTAATATAATGATATGAAGAAGTCATAAGTTCGCCAATGGCTTGTAATGAAGATAATTCTTTAAGAGTTGGAATGATATGTTCTATTTTTCAGTATAAATTTTTTTTCTTAGAATAGAGTATTTATTGCAATATATAAGAAAGCGAGATTCGTCTTCAGTTTGTTTAGATTCACAAATAGGGCAGAGTCTGTTAACCCTTGGAGTTTGATCATATCTACCATTCTCAATCCTTAGTTTGTGATTGTCTATCCTAAATTTCACTAGTTCTTTTCTTTCGCTTTGTTTGCTCGTTAGGCCTACTTAAGAGGAGGGTGTGTAATCGTTCTTAAAAGTGTTGAAAAATTCTAGTTTAGTAGAGTTTTGCATGGTATGTTGCAAAATATACTTTTGTTGCATTAGGTCAACATATTGTTTGATTTTAGCGTAAACTCACAACAAAGCAGCTGCTCAGTCGTTAAATTCATCCTCAACCTCAACCTCTAGCTCACGCTAGTTCAATAACATATAGTTATTAATTCGTCCGAACCCATTTATACTCCTGGGTAGAGAGAGACACCGTAAGAATTGAGAGTCTTTCCAAGAACACAACTCGGAGTCACACGCGTTATAACTTTTCCTACTATTAACTACAGTGTATTCAAGAAATCGGAAACCTCTCCGATATTCTCTCCAACACTTACAAAACATGGCAACTGTTTTCCAATCGAAATAGGTGGATGAAACGCTGAAAGAACTTGAGGACAGCGAAGTCCCTGAGTCGGACGAGGGAAAAGGGGCGGTTGCGATGAAGCTAAAGCAAAACCTCATCACAGAGTTGGAGAAACTTCTCTTTAACAATACTTCCGACATGGAAGGAGGCGAAAACGTGAGACAGCTGTTTAATTCATTCTGTGAGGCCGTTTACCAGGTGAGAAAACACTGACTAACTTGGGTTATTGAAGTAGGTATGTACAGTGGATGAATTTCTTCAATTTAGTGACGTAAGATTGTGTTAGAGCGCAATTTGAAAGCTTGTCAAAAAGATTATCGTACTGTAACTCAACTGATACGACTATATTTTCATTTTTTTTTTTTCGATTTGATTTACTCAATGAGTTTGGTTTGCAAAGGTGAAGAGGCACAGTTCCGACCTCAAATATTAATTCAATTTAGTTGTTACTTCTTTTCTCAACGGTCACTTCTAAAGATGTACGTTGAAACATACGAAACGTCAAGTAAAAAGATATAATTTTTGTCTTCCAACAATGTCCGCCGTGCCATTTATTCAATAATCTCAACAGTTACAAAGATTCGCGAACTATGACAGGATCATGAAAAATAAGTACAACAAAGCCTGACACGAAAACTCCTGAAAAACAGCAGACGAAAAGAAAAGAGAGAGTGTGTGCCCCTGACCAAGGGGCTTTAGGGTTTCCTAATTTAACGTACTGTACACAAATACTTGGTGATATAAATAGAGGATTTTACAGCGATCTAATTCTATATAACAGCACTAACGAAATAAAAGAAAACGAAAACCAGTGTTGGTCCATAACAAAGAAAAAGAAAATGAGCTTGACTTCTGTTCACGGAGAAGGCTGACTTAACAAAGTCTCACCCTGCTAAGGGCAACCGAAAGTCATCCCTCTATACAACACGCAGTTCAAACCCGCTCCCAAACCTCCCCTCCGTTCCGACAAATAAAGGAATTTGTGCTAAGATTATCAGTAATTTCATAATCTTTCTTGAGTCAACGAAGCAATGGTTGCTTACAAAGTGTGTTTACTATTCTAAGTGGCTTTGCTGGCCGGTGCTCAACTCGTATTCCCTGCTAATCCTACATGGGATCCTAGTCCATTATAAGCTGTGCTACGTGTCAGGTTGCCGGTAGCCATTTATACTCCTTCAACACAACTAGACCCAAGGCGGGGCTCCGAGTCCCCGAAACAGGGCGGGGGTGTCTCAATTTGGTGTCCAACGCGCTAACCATGCATTAAGCTACACTTCCTCTTAAGTAAGAATGAGTTGCTTTTATTTAAGACATTATTAATTATGGCTCACTATGTCTTGTCAAGGTTGATCCTCTGGCTATGCGCAATGATGACGACATAAGAACAGAACAAAGGAGGTTGGAGGGTGTGGCCGCCCCGCTAGGAGAGGGCAGTGAAAACAGTCAGCTACTGCAGAAGCTGCTCTACGAGAATTACACAGGTACAAAACATACCACCAGAGGTGCGGGTAACTTTTGAAACATGTGACGGGTATGTAAAGTAGGTTTAAGTACGTTCGTAAGTCGCTAAGTATTTTATGTAACAAAGAACTCGATCAAGATTTTTCTTATCTTTTTACCATCTCGGTCAATAAGTGCTTTATCCCATAGCAAACCCAGTGGCCAACTCAGTAGATAAGTATTTTATCCTTGTAACCCGCCAAGTCAATAGCCGTTTCATTTTATGACTTATACAATTACCACTGACCTGAACTGTGGAAAAAAAACAGCGAAATTGTTACTTGGTAGACAGGACTATTGTTTCCTTCCAAGACCCAATACTAAAAACAACAACACTAATGATAACAAAAATAGCTATTTTACAGCAGAGCTGCATAGTAGCTCTGCATCTATGGAACTCCCTAAAACAACAAGAGCAGAAAATTTGCAAGAGTTTAAAAATTAGAATACCTGAATCTAATTTAAATCTATTTATAGATAAAGGGGGGAATATATTATCAATAAAAGGGTCAGAGACAATGTTTCCTTGTATTTCTCTGCTTTCCAACTATATCTTAGTATTTTTTAATGTGTTTGCAGGATATCACCAGAAAGACCGTAAACCAGTCTCCATGGCCAGCCCTATTGATCAACTGTTTCCCATATCAAAGAAGCTGGTTGAAAATGTCCAGGAAACTCTACGGAACATCGTTCAAAAGACCATCCAGCGCTGCCTGTCCAAGTTTCCCACCCTCAAAACAGCAGTCGAAGCGAAAGTTGTGAACAAAATCTTTGAAACCAAACGCGACCAGACCATTCAGTTCATCCGACAGTTTCTGGAAATGCAGAAGAAAAGCATTGACGTGGTGTTTGCACCAATCCCCACGCCAGACGAAATAGATCAGTGGAAATCGCAGAAGTTGACTACGAGGGAAGGCCTTAGCAAGACTCATCCATGCATGACATCGAAAACAATGAATCACATGGAGCACCTCGCGGAAAAACTCTACCCTCGGCATCTGGTAACCGAGATTGAAGGTCACGGCAGCAGTTCCGCACATACTGCGTTTGTAAACCACAAGGTGAGCATATAACATGGGCGTATGGGAAGGTTCCATTATGGGCACTTGGAAC